TACTATTGCAATCAACCATTTTTACACTAACTCTCTCCATAGATTGCAATTGCCTTCAAAAAGGTACCTGTTGTTTCTTTGGCAGAATCTCCTTGACTGGGAAGAGCCTGTGTACAGATGTCATTTTACCAGTAATAGCAATTAGGGGCTTTGATGGGTGATTTATGTTTTAGGCCCCTAAAAATAAAAAAGGCATGGAAAAGAATAAAAACAGAGGAACCAAAGAGACTTCAGGGGGAAGAGCAGGGAAAATAGAGAAAAGAAAGAGTAGGAGAAATTCCATATGCAGAGAGGTGCTCCAGATGTCACAAAGCATCATGAGACCCAGATCGGTAACCTGCCTGCAGGAATCAGGTAAGATGCTCTACTGCAGTCCCTAATTGCCAGATATCAAAGCAAAAAGTGTGAGATTACAAGTATCTGTGTGGCCATGTTGCTGCTGTAACATTCATTTCTGAAAAGATTTGATTATACTAGATTCTTCTAGTAGAAGAAGATTCTTCTAGATTCTTCTTTGCAAACCAGCTAGATTCATACTATTCCTCTTGCCAGTAAAGAGTTTCTGGGGAGGTTACCATCCGGATGTAGTTTTGCCTTCATAGGTCTCTTCTCTGCTTCCCCTTCGGACAACAAGCTCCTTCTCCAAACAGGGAATAGTTGCTGACATTCCCCATGCAAAGAAATTGTTAGGAAGGAAGTAAGATGGTGTGGAAACTTAGCCCTCCAGAAGTTACTGACCCAGAAGTCACCAGGAAGCTGATGACTTTGAACATTTGGGAACAGGAACTTGCTGTTTCTGCTTAAATATGGGAAGGAGATAGCAAAGATTTAGAGTAATTCTCAGTCTCTTTCTTTCCCAGGCTTCCCATGAAACAAGACTTCCATTTAAATTAATTTGCCTCTGAAACACTCACATAACACGTTCTTTGTTAGCCCCCAAAGCCATCTTGGGGCTGTGGAACTCACAGAGGAGACCTCATTCTTCTGCCTGTCCCTGATCATGTATTTATGTATTTGGCATCACCATGACAGAACACATCATGTTCAGGAAGCCTAGCTTCCCTACAGGATAGTTTTGACTGAAACGACTGAAACTGCTTGTTAATAAACAGTTTTAAACCCTGCATGTCACCACCACGTCCAAAGCACAGAGTGAATCCGACGTCTGATAAAATATGTTGTTTGTCTATATGCTGCACTGGACAGCTGCGAGTAAATCAACTTTATGGGCTTACTCACTGTTTGCCCTATCTAATTTTTATGGTTCTTGCAATCTGCTCAAACATAGTTACTTTTGAATGCAACCTAAAAAGCTGCAATGCTCTGCAATGCTCAGACCTTAACTATCTTCAACTTTATGGCCTGAAATAAAAAGTTCTCTCCCACTGAGCCACTCCTAGGAGGTTGTTAAAATTAAGGATAGTGTGTTAAAAATCTGTTACAACTTTTAATAGTAAGCCATAACCTGTGCACTTGGGGGTAAATGAATTTGCCAGTCTAGTTTCTGAATTCAGATACCTTTCAGATCTTTCCAGTCTCTGAGAGGTGTCTGTTCTTCATTTTCAGCTGGTTGTCATGATGGAAACTATTCACTGGAGGAAAAGGAAGAATTAGACATATTGTAATACAGTATGTTAGCTCAGATTAGGTAGGGTAGCTCAGTTACCAGATGCAAAGAAGCCTTGAAAATAGACCAAGTTTACTTTTTGCATAAATTGAACCACTTTGATTTGGGGAAGCAGGTAATGCAATCACATATTCTTGGCTTTGTACTTTCTAGGATGCAGAAGTGGAGACACAGGAAATGAAGTAACCTGGAACGCATTCGTAGAGCAACAAGGAACAGAGATAACAGTAGTGAATTGTCTGCTTCAGAGAACTGGCAATTTTCCTAAGAAATCAACCAATTCCTTGGCTCCTAATACACATACACATGGTATACAGTTAGATTTTAGATGTACACAAATGTTTTCATACACATGAAGACTATATTTAAGGCATTTCGTATAAACATGCTTACCTTCTATGTTGCCTGTGTTGTTTCCTCTCAGCAGATGTAATTGTTGAGGATGCTACAGCAGTTTATAAGTACCTGTGAGCTTACGTGCTTAACCCAGAGATGTCTCCTCTTTGTATGTTTAAAGAGTACCTATATCCATCACTTTATGGTATAGCTATGCAAAAGAAAAAGCTAATGTACCAAGTCCAATGTCTGACAAAGCACAGACCAGCCATAGGGTAACTGTTAAATTGTTTATCATAGAGAGTAAAATGGAGATTTGTGCACTATGTGGTAGATACCTCCTCAAGCTTAATCCCTTCCATGGATTTCCCAACTTCCACAGAAAAAAAGAATTAAAAAGAGATTACAAAATTTGTGTGATAGTTAAAATTTCAGAAAGAGATCAACCATCCATATCAAAGTTATGCTGGATGACAAATTGCAGAGGTTTTCAGGAGTGTTTTGAGTTAAGGAAACATTTGAGAATGTTAATTATGAACAACAATTAAAAACCATGAGTGTGCTTGGGGAAGAGTATTTCAGATAACCGGTCTTGGGCCCGTAGCTTGGAGAAAGACAAATTGCTTCAGGAGAAGACTGAGGATGAATCTACATGAGTAACATCTCTTAGATCAGCTCAGGAGCACAGACATGATTGTGTCTGCTTACTGCACTCTACTTCACACTGTATGTCCTTCCCACCCAAATGAGATTTGACTGATTCATATTGTATACAAGAATGGGCAATCAGTTTATAGGACCCGACTAGGGCTAGTGTGAAGCAAAACCATGGAAGAGATAAAGCATGGTCACTGGGTCCTCAGCACCAGCAAGAAACTCATCTCCATTGAGTTGCACTGCTTTACTACTGTAGACATAAGCATCTAAGGCACTGAATCATTTTTGGTTAATCATTACATCATATTTCACAACAGGGTGAGACTGGCCTTCTCACTTAAACTCACTTAAGCTTAAGTGGAAATGCTCCTTCTCCCATCTCTTTTTGTGTTTACATTTGAGACACCTACACAACAAAGGAGTCTTTCCTCATTTGATTAGAGATAAGCTGTCCATGGTGAATGGCTACAGTGTCTTTTGGCTTCTTCTGAATTCAGGATATAAACACTCTCTCTTGCCATTCAGTTAAATACTCACACCAAATCTAGGATTCCTTTTTATTCCCCTCTCTTTTATGCAGGTTTGGATGACTTTGTAATGAACTCATTGTAAGGTCACAGTATTTTAGCTGCAGATCACTTGCTTAATAAGAGTTTTCTCAGTCATGTATTCATTCAGGCAGTAAGGCTCAAATTTTCTGCCTACATATTAGTAGATTTAACCACTCCCATATACTAAAAAAGGGTGTTGATGTGAGGTTTCTGATATTTGGGTTAGAGTATCTAAAGCACACAGAGAAGCATACACTTGCAAAATTAATTAGATATATATCTGTAACTACTTACTAAACGTGCTTACTTTTCTAAATCATATTCTGTTTGAAAGTCAAGCATCAGTACAATCATCTCCTATACAGTACAGGTAGGAGTCCGCAGTGTTTTACCAAAACTAATTAATAGTCTGACTTTGAACATATTTTAAGCCAATGGAACAAATTTATAGGCTGCAGTAGGCAAAACCAGTCACAGCTTTATTTTTAGCTGTGTATTTTTAACAGATATGCATTTAGCCTGATTAAAAAGGGAGCTTTTTTTTCTGATGAAATATTAAATATTCCATAAGCAAAATGTTTGATTTTGACTATGATGCTATCAATCATTTTTAGTGTCAGAAATATTTATAATTTTAAATAGGGCAATGCAGGGCTAAAGTGTTTTAAAAAATCCCAAACTAACAGGGCATGTTCCTGCCTTATAATAAATAATTGGCAAATGATGTTTATTAAAATTGGCTCTCAAGTGACAGTTAATAAATGCATAGTTCTCTTATGCAAGCCAAATTCAGCATTCTGAAAACTTAAAAGCAGATAGATCAAAACAACTGAGATAAAAAAGTCACAAAGACAAAATACAGCAATACCAGGAAGTGACAGGGAAATAATTCAGACTTAAAAAAATGACAATGACTTATTATTTAGTAACTTGTAACAACAATTTATAGAACTAAATTAGAGGAAAATCAGAGTCTTTGTGATATTTTAGATATGCAATTTCTTTACTGTATATAGTCTGATCATACAGCAGAGGAATTCATATTCCAATACCCCCTTCAAAGAAGCAGAAAAAAATGCTGCACCACATTCTTGCTTCCAGTTACACTCATTCATGGTTAATGGATGAAGGAGGGAAAAAGGGATACAATACAATTCATTATTAATTCACTCTAATGAAAACCCCTGCACATTTCTTCCATCTTTGGCGAAATTAGAGTGTCTACCTGTATGGTGTATTTCACACTAGCACATATTCCCAGACCGCATCTACACTTAGTTGCACAAATACTGGATTTAACAGGCTCTTTGTCTATTAGTGTAATCACTTCATTGGCCCTTTGATGTTGCATAGGTTTGGTGTAATGATGGAGAAATTTGTTTCTACTTTGTATTTTCACCTCTGTTTCCAAAAGGTGAAGGGCAGAATTTTTAATCAAAGAGCAGTTTATCTTTAATTATGAAAAATATAATTAGGCATTATCACCTAATTGCAATTACTGATGGAGAAAGTCATATTTTCATAAGTAGTGACCCATGATATATTATCACTCTACTGTTTACCACATAATGCATCTGTATTTGTGTCTGGCAGCTAGCCAGCAAAAATTAAAAGGTAATCAACATGCTTCTCTGCAGTGCGGTCATCAAAGTCACTGACTCCATAGTCATGAGTGAACAAGAAAGTCAAGACGTGACGCCCTAACAGAAACCTTTCTTTAGAAATAACTACATTTAACTCTTCTGGTAAGATGTCAAATGATACTTGAAATAACCATATAGAAAAAAAGACTTCACAAAATAGGTTAGAACTGTGCTATACATCTGGTGTTCAGTTAAAAAACAGTTTAATGTCTCAAGGCACCACCACGGTAGAATTTTATACCTGCATGTAATCATCTAATACACTACTGTACAGTTAAGGTAATGTATTAATAAATAGCTTGTGCAATTTTGGGAAGCAATCTATAAAGGAATGTTAGATATACAGTAGGCACATGTACTATAATACAAATAGAAAACAAAATCCCTAGAAAAAAGCATGCTGAGCACCTTTGTGGTATAGGTTGAGTTTCTTATTCTAACCACTATGTAAATCTTAACTTATAAAAGGTAAAACTGAATTCTTATAATAACTGCTTACTTAAACTGATTTTCCTGGGTATTAGGCTCTAGGTCACAGGATTACTCTTAGGGGCAGAGGGCTCTGGTACTGGCTGCAAAGGGCTATCTTGTTCATTCAGTTGTGCATTCAAGTTTTCAGAAGTGAGGAGAGAAGAATTAAAAACAATTTCACTTAAGTCTGATTTTATGGATACTAGATGTGGTTCTTGCAAATTTGATGGTTCTTCTACTAACACTTGTGTATTTTCTCGTGTCATCCCCACATCTGATGGTGACTTTCTTTTCATTCTTGTGTATGATTTGTCTAAATTCTCCATGCCTTGATCGGTTTTCTGAAATCGCCCAAAGAACCAGATGAAGAAACCAAACAATGCAAAAGCCAGCAGACTTGGAATAAAAGCCAGGCATTTGACATCAAGACTAGAGCCTATGTATCTGCTGTGCAAGAACATATCTCCTTCGGCATAGGTCCTGTTGGTCAACGGGTTTGTGTTATTGGATCTCCATTCCCAAGATAACTTAGTCCTGTTAAGATCTTTCAAGCTTTCTGAGTCCTTCACTGTGTAGATCTTCTGTCCAGGACCAATATATTGACCATATTCATGAGGTTTGTAAAATATTTGGTTCTTCCACATATTTAGATCCAAGATTAAAACCAGAAAGATAATTCCATAGTTAAACCATTTGCCTGTATTGGAAAAAGAAGGTTTTGTCATATGACACATCCATTTCAGAAGCACAACAGATATAGTAATATATAAATACTACTCAGAGAAAAAAATATGTATCTTTTCGTCATTAATCTGTAAAAAAGTTATAATAAAATTTTCATCATAGATAGATTATGCTGAATATCCCTTACTGTTTCACAATTATATCCGAGTGCATAATAAAATAATTTTGCAATGCACAGCACTATGTCAACTGAATTTGCACTGCGGTGTGTAGGTGACCTGTTAGTTAGACCGTTAATTGATGTAAACAATAAACTTAAAGGACATTAATTTCAAGGCTTTAAAAATATTCAGGTAGAAATTCTTGAAAAGGCCATGTCTGATAGAACTGTTCATATGCCACGAATGTCTGAGGTAAGACTTTTTGGGAGAGTCAGTAATTATGTAAATTTTAAGTGTAGTCAAATTCTTTAAGGTACTACACATGGTGCCAAGAGACAAGAAGGTGGAAACTACTGGATAAACTGTAAATTAGGGTTATTACTTTCTCAGAGTAAAAAAATCAACAATGGCTGATTTTAGTCTTGGGAGGCTATTCAGCTTAGTTTTATCTATAGTTCTTATGGTGGTAAACTTCTCCCCAGAATGACTCAGAGTCTGAAATCCTGGAGGGGAAAACCTTTCTCCTCTGATTACTGAAGAGATGTAAATTTACTTTTTTGCATGCCTCCTTCAGGTATGCAAAATACATAAAAGATAACTCAGTGCAATAGCAAAGCTGGCCCAGCTTTCAGCAGGGTATTGGCCTGCACCTGTCCCCTTTAAAATGAATTACTCTATGATTCTGCAAAACAAATAATACAAAAACAAAAAATCATAGTTTAAGCATTTCTAACATATTAGCTGAACATGCTAAGATCTTATCTGAGTAAGGATGATGGCAACCACCCCAAACCCACCAAATCTACATGTTATCAAAAATGTATTAGGATTGAGGATTTGTGACTACAACTTACCACAGCATTGGGTGGAAGGACATTCAATGAGGAATGTCCTTGTTGCTGATGAATAACGTTTTTCTATGCTTTAATATTTAATTATTTATGTTTAATTAACACAAATTAGTTAATTATGTTTTGAGTGAAAAACTAAATCATACTAGAGCAGCAGATTAGCATGCTCTAATCATATCAGAGCAGCTATACAATTACTTATATCACAGGTTTTACAAAAAATAAACAGATTTCAATTCCTAAAACCCTGTGTGTTGAAGTCGTACCATGGGCCAGAATGTTCTAGGGTAACTCCTTGTAATCCAGCAGTTGTTCTTTAATGATCCTCTTCAATCTAGGTTATACTCAGACTGAAAATGAGTACGAATGATAATTCTACTGCGTTATTGTCACCATCCAGAAATCAAACTACACCATTCACATAATTCCTTAATAACTGTTCTAGCTTTATTCTGTGTATTCATCAATATTATATTTGACATTATATTTGACCTGTTGAAGAAGTGAGTTTAGAAAAGTATGATTTTAGATAATTATAATCACATTTTATAGTGTTTAACTTCCTTAAATCAACACCAAGACACTGCAAATGATGATACAATATGAAATATAATAAAAGTAATACTAGCTAGTTTCATGTCAGTTCCTATGGATTTCTGCTATATATTTTCTGTGTTTCTCTCCATCACAATAACCTCAGCTTCTCCATCAAGCATGACCTTTCAACAAACAGAGACAGTAAATATTCTGCATTGTGTGTGTTGATGGGCTGGCTGGGACACACACAATCACTGATCAGTTGACTAGTGCCAAACAAGACATACTGATTTCTACCTGCTTTTCCTTGACTAGGTGCCAACTTAGATGGTTCTTCTCTATTCCTAACCACTGTGTCTCAGAAAAATATGGGAATGTATCTTTCAGATTCCTACCCTCTGAGAAATATTTTTGAGATTGAGACTGAAATATTTTGAGATATTTTTGAGATTGCTATTGGGTTCAAAAGATAGTTGAAGATGATTAGCTGAGAGATGGGTAAAAGACTGAGACTAATCCATATAGAGAATATAATCATACAAGCCTCATTTCCTTAGCAAACCAGTCTGAAAACAAATGAGGAAAACACAAGTATTAGAAGAATTACCTATCGACAACCAGTTCGAATGAGAACATGATTTACTGTTCATAACTTCCTTCATATTCTATAGTTGTAGAGGTAGTGCCCTTGCACATTTTGTGGAGCAAATATTTGTTATCAAATATTCCTCTGTATTTCAATGTACCACCTTGTGGTAATGCTCCAAAGTTAATTTACTAAACCACATTCCTTTCCCAGGAAAATGTATTATCAACCTGTCTGGAGAAACTTCCTTCCACTTCCTTTTTTATTGGCTCATTCAGAAACATATATGTGGGACTTCTTTGTATTTCTTGCAGAGCCAAGACAGATGACTCTTCAGAGAGAACTGCTAGTTACAGGAGATAATGAGAAGTCAGAAAATTCATATAGGACCAATATTGCTCTTCCCTTTAAACTGTCAGGGCAAGAGTGAAGATGTGTAGGGAGAAGACAGGCAATTGAAAAGAGCAAAACTCTAAGCACAATATTAAGATGCCCTTTCTAAAGGCTGAAGGGGACTGTAATGTTGCTTGCAGGTTTTAGGTGTGACTGAGAAAGAGAATTCAGATTCAAAACTGAACTACACAGCACTTTATCTTACATATGATGGCACCTAGTGGATTTCACAGCAATTAGTTATCAGCTGGGTGACCAGGTTGTCTTAAATACTGCATGTGTAAAACAACCCACCAAAGGAGACTTCAGAGGGCAGCCTGCTGCTGGTGATGAAGCTGACCAGGAAGCTTGCAAAAAACATTGAAAATATAGGTAGTTAGGTGCCTGATGTTAGGCCTCATGTAGTACCTGTCCTACATCGTAATTTCATAATTGTTAATCTATTCTAAGATGGATCCTAAGGCATGAACTTGAAACTGCCTCAATCAGCTCCTAGATAAGAACAAGCAGGCAGGACAACAGCCTTAAGCTCCACTAATTGAATCACTTGGGTCAGTGGGATTATAAAGGTACCTGGATAAATAGCTTAGATGCAGACATCCAGGTTAATTAAGATGAATCTTACCGTCTAATTAAGTAAGGTATGTCTCAGTGGCAGCTAGCTGTCTGAGACATGTCTATGTCAGTGGTGGACCTACTCAAAACTCCTTAAATTTCTAATTTCTGGACATTTTTTACACACTGTGCATCACTGTCACACTCCTCTCTGAGCTCTGATTTTTCCTTTGCTTTTGAAAAGTGCTGTCACCAGAAGAAACACTGTATTTCAGAAATAGTCCCACTTTACCCATATATGAACACAATGACATCTTTCTACTCCTACTCAGTGTTCCCTGTAGCCAAGACTGTGTTAAAATCCTTAGGCACAAAAGTACTTACTGGGAGCTCATGCTGTCTTGGTTACTTATAGAATACAGTGTCTGCTATTCTCTTACCACAGCTGAGGAAGACCAGATTATCAGGCAACCCAGATAGCTATGTAGAAATGACACATCTTCCTAACTTGTTGCTATTCCAAAAACATGTCGGCTTCTGAAAATACCACTGAATCAAGAGGCCCGGGAGTCTCCGCTGACAAGCATGTGTTTGATAATAATTCTCCATGACAATTTATTGTTGAACCTTATTGTATTGATATACTTTTAGATAATTTAGATCTATTTATAGATCTATTGATCTATTTTTATCATTACGCACATGTATAATTCTCATACACAAAATATAAAATGATATATAAAATGATTTTCTATCACAACTTAAATTAAACAAAAAGGTATTTTGTTTTACAACAAACTTTAAGTCTTTTCATACATGAATACAGTAAAGGAATACAGGTTGATTAGCACAAGAAATGGATTTGGTAAATCAGAAGTTCTAAATTTTGAAAGGCTACAGCCACTCCAAGGTGAGCCTTTTCACCTTGCACATAGACCAGCTTACATCTCTAGTTCTGCAAAGAGACAGAATATATACATAATATATATAACATACAGTCACAGATATTCATTTCCTAAAAATAAAATGTTTTTCAATACTTGAAATTTCATTACAGAAGAAAAGTGGAAAGGAAAAACTGAGTTCCTCACTATGAAGTCTTCATTTCATGTGTGTCCTAACCAATACTTTTCTGTAGGATCAGTGCAATTATTGATCTAGGGTTGGTTCAGCTCCAGGGAAGTCTGCATGGCCAAGAACATTGCCATACACCGAGCACTATTTAGCCTTGTATTTTTCATAGACCAAACTTGAGAAGAGTGTAGCAGTAAAATCATCTCTGAAGACTGAAGGACAGTCAAACATGGTTAATACAAATTTCAGGAAACAGAAAAAAATATATATATTGCCAGACTTCTCAATGGAAGTTACATGCTGAAAATCAGGCGATAAAACAGGTTGCAACACTCAGACACCTCTTCCTTAGCTTTTTAACCTACACCCACTATTTGGGCATGAAAACTATATCCCTATTTTCTGAGAAAACACAGCTGTTGAGCAGTGTTGTATCCTAATGGCTAGGGCAATAACAGAACAAGAAAGCTTGACACTAGGAATCTCTCTAACTATGGCAGTTTGTAGGCACATTATAGGAATACGTTCTTAACATTAGTCTACAGGGAATTGTTGCTTAGATAGTCAAGAAGGCCATCTCCCTACCTGACTCACTTAAGCACAGCAACTGTGCACTGTACGTGAATCCAGGAGACAGAAAGGCATCTATACCTGCCAGACTGAACAAGATGTTTGGACTGTTAAAGAGGTCATCAAGGTCTACAAGGGAGTTAATCAACCAGTCAGAAATGCAGCTAAATTGCTTGGTGACTCAGGAAGATACCCCAGGTCCAAATAGTTCAAAACAGCTTCTGATTCTGGAGCATTTTGTTTGTTTGTTTTATGTTCATTGAGCAAGAGAGCAGTCATGGCTTCAAAACACATCCTTCATGTAGAAGCCAGTCCTCAGCATCTCTTCGGAGGTCAAGAGGAAACGGGAATATCCCATTTATTTAAGTCAGACTCAATTGGCCTCCTGATGTGAAACCACAGCCAGAGGGAAGAGTAGAAAATGTTGACTTTCAACACTTAATTCTCAATTGCAATTTGTGTAAAAAACATTCAGACACCTCTGAAAAACATTCACAAATCTTTCAAACATTCTTCATTTCTGTTGCGTTAGTGTTATTAACTAGACATATGCATACAGACCACCCAGCTGAAATAAGCACGAAACCTGAGATTTTTCCAAGTCTGTGTGCATGCACAGCCTTGTTTTCACCTCTGCCCTTTCTATTTTTGCCCACAGGCTCCCTCAGATGTCACCGTAGGCAGTGCTTGGCTTGGATTGAGACACACTCTTGGTTCAACTCCACCAGCCAGCTTTGCCAGGCACTTGACAGACATGAAGGGAACAATTTCTCCTTTAGGTGGAAGGGCACACTGGCTAGATGCATTATAAATGGTCAAAAAAAAAAAAAATCTCCCATCTGTTTTGGTTCCTAAACCTTAACAATTCCTATCTGAAACTTATCCATATACTTGATAGCAGATGCTCTTGGATCTCCAGTGCTGCTATTAAAGGATACCAACCAGGCCTTTGAGTGCCTTTCAACAATGAAAGAATCTGAAGTAACAAAATTTACTTTTAAGTATCACAAATTTCCCTGGGTATTATAGAAACTAGGCTAGACTGTGTGTTTTCATAAACAGCAGCCTAAGAATGAAAACACACATACACTGCAGTGAACCATCTGTCAAGGGAAATCCAGATGATCTAAGCAGATGCAGGAATTCAAGTCATTTTTGATGTTCAAAGATAAAAGCAAGTATGAAAACAGGATAAAAGAATTTAATACTGACTAGATCCTTGCTAGAAGTTCCTAGTTGCAAAGAATTTTGAGCAAGATGAGGCATTCAGTTTCTAGTAAAAAAAGAAAAAAAAAGAAAAAGATATTCTTGTAATAGCAATTTAAAATTACACTGAAGCCTATCAGCTACAGGCTGAGGATGTTGATTCATCATTACTACCTATTTACAAGATTCAGAAATCAAAAGTCAGGCCTAAGAAAGCATATGAGCTAAAAGTAATATAGTTCTTACTATTTATCTGAATTATTTTAGACAGTTATGAAGAAGTAACATTTATTTTTTCTTCTGAAATCATGAGATACATTTAAAAAATATGAAAGCCTGAATTCTCATGTAGTCCCTGAATCCAGGAGCTGACACTAGAAGAAAAAAAAAGGCAAAAAAAGCAACTGTCTTAAGACTTGTGATAAAATCATGAGAGCTGGCAACTCAGATCATGTAACTGTGAAATCCTTCATCTGCACTAAATTTACACAAAGCCTGTGAGCATACAGCGACAGAAATGGTGTTTAAAGAGCTGTCCCTCTCTGAACGCCCCTCTGTTTAGAGCTGCCTCTTCACGGTACTGTTGCTCATTAGAGCAACTCAGCCCCGAACATGGCTGCTTGGGGCAGGCCTAGGGCTGCTCTTGTTTGTATTGAACAGCAGTGAGCAAAACAGATTGAAAAAGAACAAAGGTTACAAAACATAAAATTTATCAGGAAAAAGATAGTAAATGGGTTTTTCAGATGTTTTCTTTGTCTTTGCTCTTTGGGAGTAAAGGCGGAGGTCCGTTTTGGAAATCAGGGCATGGGTCATAATTTTGTGGTTTGATTTCATCCCTATATTATGTACTGACATAAACGATATTCAGGCCTTAGTCTTTACTTCCTCCATGTTGTTAATGAGAAGTAATATGATTAAATTTAACATCCTTGATCCCAAGTATTAAATAAGACTTAAATAAAGCAGTGGGTTTTACCTCCCTGCCATTATCAATGTCCTGTTCTCACATCATCAGGAGCAGTTGCATTCATGTGAATCACTCTCTAGTCTCATTATAGATTGGATTACATTCACCTTGTTATATATTTTGAACCAGTTCTTTATTTCAAAAGCTCCTTGATTTGAATAGAAAATTACAAGTACCTACCAATCCACACAATAAAGTAGAGCTTGAAATGATCCAGGATGATATCCTAACCTAAGACAAGAACCGATGGCAAGAACAGATGGTTCAAGCAAAACTTACCAAAAGGGAAGTTCTTGTGCCATGTGTTATGGCTGTTCATTAGATCTCCTAAAGGACGGTGTAGCACTGAGATAAAACAGGCACTCAGTAGACAGAGTACGTGACACGCAATCAAATGGATTGATTTGTCTAGTGAATCTAATAAATGAATCTTGTTAATGCTGAGCAGGGAAAAATATTCCTCAGCTCCTATTCATTAGCTCATGCTCATTAAAGAATGTCTTCTTGCCAAAAAATCAGAAAGGCCTCCAGTACTCTCTGCAGAAGACTGTACAATGCATAAATATTGTTTTTTTCTTAGTTGGTCTGTTTTCAAACTGCAGCACTGCTACTAGTTGAAATTCCAATCACTGATTTATGTTTTTTGCTCTTGCTTATTCTTTGGTCTTCTCTGATTATCATCACTCCCAATTTTTCTACAATGCAAAATGTTTCGTCTTTGCCCTTCAGTGTAGCCATTGCTTTTCACCTACTTTAGTTCTATCTGTACTTCTGATATTTGATGACACAGTCCACTGTAGCATACCTGTTGCTCATACTACTCAGTTCATCCATTCACTGCAGGTCATCTGGGACACTTGTGTGATTGAGCCCCTCCAAAGTCATTCTTTAGTATTGAGAAGCAGAAAAACAGAATCTTTTCAACATCTCTGACTGCTGTGACTATATTTCATGTCAAATATTTTATGCTTATATTCTCTTTTTCTCTCTCTTGCCCTTTTGCTCAAGATTTGGTCACCTTCAGGGAGCAAAACTGCATTCTTCCATCACCAGCACACCTTGTCTCTCACTTTACATTTTCTAGTCACTGCCCATGAGATCCTTACCCATTTCACTACATCCTGTTCTATAAACCACCAATGGCTCAAACTAACTCACACATAAACTCAAGTTCTTTTTTCTTATTGCTGGTTGCCTCTTCTTTCTGTATTCCAGCAGAGTCCCAGCTTCAGAAAAACTTTCTGTTTGCAAGCAGTCCATTTGCCTTCTCTCATCCAACAGTCAGCAGGTAACTTTTGCACCTGCTTTTTCATATCAGTTTCAATTTGACCACTCAGATTTCTGCCTCCTCTGCTAAGAATATCTTCTCTCAGGTTTCACTCTCTGCCTAACTTGACTGTCCGGGCTTCATCATTGTTTCCTCCTTGGCACATTTTCTTCTCTTAGCATTTGCAGCCTGCTGAGCTTATGGCTCCCCTACTAGTTCCTGTCTTTATAATTTTATCTTCTTTGAATGCTCCTTTTGTCCATGCTCTGTAGAAGCTGCAGACTGGTCTCTTTGGATGTTCTCATGTATCTTTTTCCTTTGTAGCCTCGTGTCCTATGATGGTTTCTTATTAGCAGCTAAAGACCACTGTCAATTCATATCTGCATTCTTTTTCTCTGTGCAATACACAATATCCTTCTCTCTCTTAGCAAAATATCCTCCTGCACTGCTTGAAGCTAAAACCAAAACATTTATCCCTATTAAACCTTCTTCTCTTTTTCATTCATCATGGTTACTAAAATAGCATCTCTTAGTATGCAAAGATTGGGCCCTTGATATCTATATTTGCCATCCATTTGAATATCTATACTTCTATCCTATTTGAGGTTATTTAGCTGTCTGCTTCTGGTAAGGTGACTGATAGAAGTGTGGTTATGAGTGGCCTTTGCCAGAGGAAAATGACTGAAGTTATGAAAAGATATTAGCATAAATCATAGTAAAAGCATCTGAAAGCATAAGAGATTTGAAAATGAAATAAGCTGCTAATTCCCCTGGAGGGTAGTTTTAGATAAAAGATCCCTGAAGCTTACAGGAGGTATTACTTAGTGTCACAAGAAGTTGCTGAAATCCATGAAGAGCAACTCTCTTTGGTTTACACGATATAGATTCCTCATTTCCCTGAGATCTTTGCACGCTTGTACATGCATGTACATGTACAGGTATATATATTTGTATTTGTATCTATAGATATCTGGAGAGAAAGATAGATAGCAAATGTTTGGGTGGGGACAAAAAAGAATGTGACTAAGGACATATTAACAGAGATTTACTAAATGGAAACAGTTAACTATGTGACTGCACCACAGTTGTAAGGTTACATACCAGTGATATGTATGTGATACTCTTCTTTGAAGATTTTTTGGAAGTAAGGTACTTTCAATTGCATATGTGCAGATGGCAAACCCGGGAGATTCACTTCAACATCACCCATAAAGTGTGGAAACTCCCAGTCCTGTTAAAGAAAAAAATATAAGAGCTTAAATATAAACTTTCACAGTAGATTTTTGTGAAAATGATTTAACTTAATAAAGGGAAAGGATTTTTGCCCTTGAAAATGATTTAACTTAATAAAGAGAAAGGATACTGTCATGCTTTTCTTTTTAAGTCTCCCATTATTAGATTTTTTTTACTTTGACCGAACCACTTGAAATAGTATATCTTGTTTATATCAGATAATGCAATATAATTTTGAATTCAACTACATCTAATTATCTGTTTAAAAATTCACCTCAGAATAGGAATAATGAACCTACTGTACCAGGTGATAATAGGAAATTACCCAAATATATGAATACCTATATGATGCACTATGAAAAATGAGAACAGGTTTACCATGTACCTATTACAGCAATCTTGTAACACTAATTACAGCTTCTGTGAATAATTTAGGGGAAAAAATTACATATAAGAAATTGTTAAAGAAGACTTGACCTTTCAAATCTTTGTATTCTGCCCGTCGGGTATTTTCAGTTTTAGGTCTTAGTACAGCTAAGTGAATACTTCTTGCAAGTGAAGGTCTTTCAACATAATCTGCCTGAATCAGTTCAAGTACTGTTTGCTCCACTGCTACATTTCAGATGAAAAAGTAACACTGGAAATGTGGAATTTCTTAACTATTATTATGCGTATCTTGGTAGCACACTGCAACCCAGCTGAGAAGGGGTGGAATTTAATGGAACTTTTAATTTGGTTACCTGCATCCCCCATCAGTCACTTAAAAGTGGATATTATAGCATGGTTCATTACAGCCCAAACTGGAAGGCTAGCAATACTGCTAGGAACATTAAAATTACTGCCTGAGTGGCTACTCTGTGAGCTGCAGACTGCTGGAGAGCTGCTGTGAAAAATATACTGGCCCTGTTCCCACGCACACACCGGGATTTCTAACCCACAAGCTAATGCCACGTGCAGAAATCATCTGAATTACTAGAGCAAGATAAAGGAATCTGAATGCTAGGAGCCCTATAAATGGCTTATACTTCCTCTGCATGAAAACCACCCCAACGTAGTCATCTCTCTAAGAGAACAAATTCTAATTTTCTTCAGTTTTCTGAGGCTAGAAACCTTCCTACCAGGCATGGTTAATGAGCAAATATTTGATACTATGAATGATCTTTGGAAGATAAACCAGTATACACAACTTAACCTTCAAGAACTGCTACACAACTCCTACATTTTCTACAGAGGAAGGGAAATGGAAGACTAAGTTTTACTAGCAAGGAGTACTACATGGCCATAATACAACAGCCCATTTGTGCTAACAGACTGTGACACTGAATTAAATGGATTGAAAGGAGTGTAAGCAATGAGAAATCCTCCATACCTGGTTCTCAGTGTTCACAGGGACACTAGAGTTAGAGAAAGGGCTGATACATAGAGATATAAATAAGGGTGCGCTCCTCTTCCCTTATCACTAATGCAGCATATGTGAGATATGGTAATGATTGCCCAGCTGCACAATCTCTTACACCGCACCTGCAACCATCCCCTTATATTTGGTACGCATTGAAAACTGCTCAAAGATTAATATTTTATGGATGTGTGTTCTCAGTTTACAATTTCACTTACTCAGTATACACCTCTGAACTTATGTCTCATTGTTAACTCACATGTACCCTTGCCCTGACAGAAAGAAGTATGTTACATATCCCTGAAGAAAAACAAATAGAGAGCTATGGACTCTGCATACTCATACTAGAAATAAGCAAACATGCAATCATAAATTTGACCTCCTGCTCTAACCTTTCCAACTGCTCGTACTGTTTTAACTGCCTTTTGCTGGCTTACCGATAAAATCTCTCTGAGCAGCATCTTGTATTAAATTGTATCTTTACATCAGATTTTTGTAAAAATGTTCATTTTTTTTTTCTCATCTATATGCATATTGATAATGAGCAAGTAGAACATCAGCTCTGTCAGATGTGCAATTTATCTTATTATTTGTCTCAACAAGTAGCTACTGGGACTGGAAAATATTTCAACAAAAACAACCCAAAACAGAAAAATCCAGTCGCAGTGCAGGATGCTACTGTTTGCATTACACAAAACAGGAGAGTGAAGAACTCTCCAGAAAATATGTATCTGACACTCCAAACTGCAGCTACCTTTCACATGTACCTTGTTCCACACTTTCTACATATTCACCACAGACTGTGTGAAGTTTGTCAAAACTGTACCACAACCTGCTTACCTTGTAGTTTTAATATGGTAGTGCCATTGCTAGCAAGGGTTTGTACCAAGTTTGCAGTAACCATCAACATCAACCTCATGTTTCTCCAGGTGATGATGGCTTGTGGTAACGCTCTCCCCCACCAGAACGAAACCACCATCCTCACGACCCAGGGGAGCATAACATTGGTACAAGCATAGACAATAAGTGCCTGCCTAACAAATTTAATTGTATTACTGTTGCCATTATTACTGAAAATGGGAAGGGATGAGCATAACATTGGTACAAGCATAGAGAATAAGAAGTGCCTGCCTAACAAATTTAATCTTATTACTGTTGCCATTATTACTGAAAATTCTTCTGCGCAGAAATATCCTTTTTATGCAATAATTAGATCTCACCTAGTAATAATTCTTGGATGAGGCTTGGGCAAGACATAGATTTCAGCTATGCTAACACGAAGTTCCTGACATTATCTTTAAGGTGTGTTTTCTCTTTGCCAAGAAACAAGATTTTCAGTGTAATGCCTCCTACAGTCTGATTATACAATCTGTTGTTTAAGAACAGTCCCACTGGAAATGGAGAAATAATACAAAACAAAATAAAGTAATATAAAAGGCAATATTTTGCAGGGAATATCAAAAAATAGGAAATTGACAGAATGAGTTAAACCTACTGCCTTTCATGAAAGCACAGACACAGCACTTAGGAAAACAAAGCTTCAATTTAGGTGATTTAATATCCTTTGGGGCTTTCCTTTAGTCATAGCTTTGATAAATGAGCATGTGTGCTGTCCATGTATTGACACATCACCTGAGAATGCATCACTCTGTTATTATTAATGTGTAAGACAGCAGCAGATGACTATTAATTTTTCTGGCTAATGTCACTATTAGGATGTCATATGTAAGCCCAACAAAGTGACACTTTTGCCATGCAGAATTTAAGAAAGTGTTCTGTGTTATCAATATTTTCCTATTGACAAACAAAAAGTAATGTAATTTTACTGTAATCAGGACAACCATTTCTTAAGAAAGTAAGTCGAGGCACCCAGGAGGAATAATCTGCATCATTTGTTAACAGGTACCCTAACAGTTTCAATGTACAACTTCATAAATCCAAATGCTTCCCTCTGAAACAGATCTCAGATCATCATGCTTTCATACACAGTAATCTTCCTGCGTGGTCTCTGAACATCAGTCTGCGATAACTGCTCTTATTCAGTGTATGAGTGATATATGTGATGTCCTTTAAGTTCTCAGCCGATAATTACATAAAGTTCCCTTGATTGACTCTTACACTAATTACTGAGATGCCTGAACTCTGCAGTACCTATGGTCTCATTAGGAACAGGGCCCAAAATGCCACATTTAGATTGTATCTGCCCTTACAGTTTGAAAAACAAATCTCTACAGACATACTGTTAGTTTGCATTTGCATCCATCATACTGCATGAACAGATTATTTCTTCCCTAAATTCATCAGCACCAAATTTCTTGCATTCATCTAATTCAGCATTTTTCAGCCTGGGAGGCTGCAGAATATTTATTTCAGTCTGTGAAGAAGAAACGAACCCAGAACAAGAAGGCTTAAATAGATACAGAAATAGAAGTCTGCACCATCATTGACAAGTTTTGGGGCGTGCACAGATCAAATGCTGTCATCTGTTTCACTCATAGGTAAAGGGCATGAATATAAGGATGAATTTAAGATCATTGATGGGCTTCAATGGGCAAAGAGAGCACCTCTGATTTCCAGCTGCTATCTCATTAAATAGAAGCACAGAAGAAAAACCCTGACTACTGCGAAAGAGTTTGTATTTTGATTTTCTCTCCCCAGCTTTTAGTTCCTTAAGCCAAACAAATGCATACACTGTTTGCTGCAAGGCTGGGTCCTGGTTTAAGGTATTAAACTTGTGCTGGAAGCACCGATTTGGTACCTCTTTAGATATATTTGGTAATGGTAACTGAACATCATGGCCAGGTTTCCTGATGCCACTAGGCCCTTCTCTGCCATCACTGGGGCAGAAGCAATGGCTGTTTGGGGAGGCTGAGTCCTGCTGACGTGCAGGCAATGCCCTTGGCTCAGGTGCTAGCCCCTTTCTGAGCAGGGAAAACTGGGGATAAAAGCTGAAAATGATTAAACAAGTGTGTCTTGCCTTCCTCTATTCTCCTGCGCATCCCTGCATAGCTCACGGGATGGCTGGTACACTGCAAATACAAAATAACACTAAAAATAATATAAGCACTCTTCAGGCATAATCATGAAAGGAGACAAATGCAAACGAAATATTTCAGCTTTAAGAAGTGATGATATATGCTGAATAAGTAAGTAAATAAAAATACAGAGAAAGAACTGAGAGAAATCATATAGGAGTGTGTACATGTCTGTCCCAGAAATGAGGAATTTTAATTAATAAAAATATCATTAAGTTATGAAGTAGAAGGGTGTGTTTCCAGGTGTCTTTGGTTTTGTTGGTGCGTGGCAGGCAATTAGAGAGACGGATGAAATCTAATGAGAGGTAATGGCAACATATCTTAGTAAGTGTTTGAAATAAGAAATAAGCTGTTGGAATTCGGAGACAAAGGCCCAGGTCCTCTGTGGTTATCTCTAATTTCACTGCAGTGGTGCAACTTTGTGCTGATCTCCGTAGCTGTGATCTCTGCAGCTGCGAGTAGCTAAAATGTAAATACTATTTTAATATTTCATATGAACGCACATAAGAAGGGAAGTCACCAGTCATGACTAGAACTCACTTTTATGTTTGTGAGATGAAATCTACA